AATATACAGATTACCAGACGAAGTCCAACAAATGAAGTCCAACAATTTATATGAAACAAAAATGTTTCATATAAATTGATTAGAAAAAAATTGGACCCGGCGGGGATCGAAGTCACGACCCGTTGATTACACCAACGATTAGATCAAGGTCCTCATATAACAAACATAGTGTAATTTCCAAAGTCACTTAAAAGATTGTCAGCAGCTCTTAAAACATTGCATAGGATTTTAGAAACACAAGGAGGTCTTCGCTTTGTGTAAAAATATCCACGTCCTTTAGAGCTCGAAAATTTCTGCAAAGAGATCTTGCGAGTACCAGGCGAGTATGAGACGTGAGTAGCTCTGCGTATTTTCTTCATTTAACTCCATACAAGGATTCGCTTGAAACTAAACGCCTCATACAAAAGAAAGAGACAGGTAAAGGGGTCGGGAGTTAGTGAGGGCCCTTCAAATTATACAGGTGAATTGATAGTGTTGTGCTGTGTCGATAGTATTTTTGCGAGTTAAGATCCGGGACTTATAAATTTTATACGATAAGAAAATTACATTTATGTTACTTGCCTTATATATCCTTACATGTTGCTTATGACATTATGACTTTCAGAAAAAAAGATATTTAAGTATTTTTTGCACACTAAAATATAATATAATTAGACCAGTGCTAATTTCTAATTGCATATGATAACATTTTATAAAACTTTTGGTTTAAAAAAAATCTAGCATACAGGCGGCACGGCGCACGCGCATATGGGTAGAGCAAAAGAACAAAACGCTGTTTGTAGTAGTGCCGTGACTCGTTCGTGTCTTAAATTTTTTATCTTAGAAGTTTTTTAAATTATAATTCCTACACATTATTCTTATCACATTAACACTTTGTAAGTCGCATTCTACCTTAAAAAGCTTTCCATGAAAAATTACTAGTATGCATTAATAGAAAAAGAAAATACATCTCTTAATGAAGAAATACAAACACAATACTAAAAAAGAACCGGAAGTAAAATAATAATAATAAATAAAAAAAGCAAAAACAACTTGTTTGAAAATTATTTTTAACTATGTCCCGACGATTCCCCATGTCTCCCCGTGGCCACGACTGCTGCAAAGCATCCGAAACGTCGGGCCGTAGTTAGTAACAAGTTTAACTTAAATATATAGCGTATTAAACCTATATATTTAAAGTTATATAAAGCTATATAGTTAAAGTGTTTTATTTAAGAATGCACTCTTGCAAAAAATACTAAAACAATATCTCATTCAAACACTTGTTAAATAGCGCGTCATTATGATCGAATCTATCATTTGAATGTTCCTTCCCAATACTAACCACGAACTACAGTTTAATCACAATAATATATCTCATAAAGCAAGATATAAATCTAGACATATCAAAGGATGCTACGTGACTTGTGAATTTATAAGAGGCCATATTTGAACTAGTAAGTGGTGTTATCGTTTATCGATGTCTATCCACAATGGGGATTGTAATGGTCTATAGTCCTAATCTGGTGTATTTTTTATAAGCCTAATTGCAATGTTTTCTTTCTATTAAATGAACCGACGTGGTGTGGTAAGAATCTTAATAGTTTTTTCTAGGGTAAGGCCGATTATAGGACACACAATAACTGATGTGGTATACCTTAGCCATAAGATTAGCCATGAAGATGCACCATCGACCTATTTTTTATTTTCATTTTATTCAATATTGTAGCTATGGATCCTAAATTTGGAACTTGTAGTTTTTCTACCCCATATCGTTTAGATGAAAGACTATGAGGTCCGTCGTATAAAATGTACGTAAGGTTTTTTTACAAGATATCTGTCTCACTATCTTTCCGCTAATCGAGATGGTTGGTATCTTCAAAATTGGTTTATTGTCATGAAATTAAAGGTTTAATACCAAACTTAATCGATATGAGATCTATCTAATCTTTCACTATTCATCTTTTGTTACATACGCTTAATTAAGTCTTATATTAATAATTTTATTCGTAAAAAAAAACTGACACAACTGTGTATGATGTAAGCGTGACAGAGTAAGAATCGTGATTTTAACCATGTTCTAAGGATAGGTACAGCCTATCTTTACTACATCTACTTTAAATAATATTTATGCAAATAGCATGCAACAAAAAGTATTTATTTCTTTCCACACTTACTCAACACAAACACAAGAAACAAAATATAAATTACAGAAGCGAATGTGATTATGTATAAGGCATGCAAGTAGAACATTTTTCATTGAAACTAACAAGGCTTTGGCTTCCGGTTTATTTAGAAATCCACAGAACGGTGCTCATAGCCGATCAAAGCGAACCTGGGCGGCTTGCCAGTTTGCAAAGATTTACAGTGTACCTAAAATAGTATTGTTCCTATTTATAACCCATTTTTACTGATACTGTATAGAAACGGATTTAATATTATCGATAAAACATTCGCGCATCACTATCCCCACTCCTGTTGAACGTTAAGATTTTTTTGTGTTAGCAGTGCTTTAAAATCAGGTCACACGGCCGTGCGTTTTGGTGTCCACTCTAGACTTTATTAAAAATATATCGCGGCATTTTCACTGCAATTATGAAAATGCACCTTTTTTGTTAATGGCACAGTACTGGGTCAAGAGTTGTTACTGAGTGCTTACGATAACAAACGGCCAAGTGTTAGCCCCACAAATGAGAATATAGTTTTTTATTATTATATTACACGGATGTGATTCGATGGAATTTAAATTCTTTAAATGTTTGCTTAAACCAGCAATTTTGCTGCTAGCTAGTTTGCTTACAAGAGTTTCTGCATATTTTGTCACGGACATTTTTTCAATTTAAAGAGGATCATTATTTCATAGATAATTTTTGGGTAACTTGAACTTTCGCAGCATACCCGCAAGGGTGGATGGATTTCCCCTTTTTTCCACATTTGCTACTGTTTCTACAGCTAGCTCCTGTTAGTCACGGCATTTAATATTAGTCACAAGTTTTATAAAGTTAAAGCCTTCTAAATGCTCTAACCAACATAGTAATAATTTTTCAATTCGAATCAGTAGTTCCCGAGATTAGTACGTTCGTACAAACAAACTCTTCTATTATCACTATAGATAGGAACATATTTTAAATTAGTATCATATTGAAGTTTACCTTTTAATACAGCATCAAGCAATTGGCTATGATAGGGGCTGGCACAGTTGTCGTTAATAGAAGTCGATTGAACAACAATACCTTTTTAATTCAAAGGTTATTTGATGATACAATGTACATTACTGCCATTAAACTGTAACCAGCAAGAAGACCTTTGTGTAAAGAGTTTGCTCTCTAAACAGAGATTCGCAATATACAAATTTCTTAAAGTTTCTATTGCAGGTATGAAACACAGTAGTATAACATCAAAAATTGTTCAAACAGCTTCAAGGTGGCCTTATAAAGGAAAAAATTACTTAAGATCCTTCAACAAAAAAGCGTTACGTTCCTGTGTTTGTTTATACTCATCTGTTTTTTGACGGACAGATGTGAACCGCTTTCGTACCCTTTTGTTTTGAGTAATCTGTACGTAAGATATAATTTAACACCATTTTTTTACTAGAACCTTTTTTGTATAATCTGTTTTACCACCACTGGGAGAGTTAACTCCTTGATGATTCTGAAATCGATTCAAGACCGTCTATTTTAAAAAATCTAACAAGCACTGGCTCTAAAGATTAAAAAAGAATACTCCGTAAATAAAATATTAAACTGTCACCAATCCCAAGCGATGATAAATGTGCGACGCCATTTTGTTTTTATTCTCTTCCCGCCATTCTGAGTTAGCGACTCCTTTCATCATGGCTGACGTTTTCCCCAATAAACCAACTTCAAAGATTTAATTACCATAAAAGACGTGTATGCAGAAACAATAGGATTACATTTCGTGGGACGTGCAAATTTTTTAAGGTCGAATTACAGAATTTCTTTACGAATCGCGGAATATCAAATTACATCGAATCACGTTTCCTTCCCACGGGGTTTACCGCATGGCAACACAATATAAGAAAATTAGAAAGACGCTAAAATCACAAAATTAGTAATATGTTAACGTCTTCAAGTCGGTAGAAGTGTTAAAAGCTAGCCATATTTAAAAATAATAACACTAATGTTCTTAGAATCGCTATTGGTGTCCCTTTGATGTCGGTATTATTTAGATTTATGACACCAGTGTTTGCCACTTGCCAGTAAAAATTATTTTAGCTGGCAATTAGGTGGATGTTTCCGGTTGTAAGCGCGGCTTTGTGGCTTGTGACGCCTACATTGACGATTATATTGATTCGGAGGCGAAACGAAATTAATATGCCTACGTACTGTGTATCTACTTCAATACATCCTGATAATTGCGTACATATTAATGGATCTTGTGGTTCTACGTTTCTGACACTGAGACAAAGACATTAGTTGCTCCTAATATAAAAAGTAAAACATTAGGTAGGTTTAAAGATAGTATCGTCAAACGACGCACTTTGTATTTTATATTACTGTAGATTAGAATTAAGATAATGTAATTTTAAATATTAACTATGAAACGAGAAAATTCGAAACACGCTTTTTACCAGAATAGAAAATAATTATTTATGAGATGTTACTTTAAAACTCAACTTCTTAGAACGTTTATAATTACTAAATATGTATTACGAAATGTAGATGAAAACAAGGAAAATTAGCCTTAGATAAATTAAGTTGGGACCAAAATCTCTTAGATTGCCCGAGGTATTAAGTTATTTGTCTTATTTTTAGAAATCTGTGTAACTGCTGTTTAGTTTATCCTTATATATAAATTATTACGTCACAAAGAGCTTTTCTTTGAGAAGAAAATTACAATAATTTATTTGTACAAAGAATAAATATTTTTGAGGGTAGAACTAAATTTCAATTACTTAGGGATTGTATTATTCATATTAGTGTTTGTTTCAGGATTCCACCCCGAATGCCATCAAATAGGACTCGTATGAAAACAGTATTATGTGATAGTGTCCAGTGAAAATGGCGGCCATTTTGAACATGTTCACTTTGACATCTAGCGCGGTCTTCGCGCGAATCTTCCTGCTGCTCACTTTTACCGTGTATTCTTCTTATGGTATGTACTTTATCTATTTCTGTATTAGAATTATTCTTACCTATAATGGAAGATACATTAATAAACCAAACTTGATTACAATATACGGTAAGACCAAAAGACTCAAAACCAAATAATTTTTTAACAAACTGTTTGTTGCATACAAGCAAAATCCTCGGTGTAATGGCCTTGTAACTTTTATTTAGCAGCAATGCAGTCCAAGTATTGCCAGCATAGCATTTACAGCTTGCGGATGCTACTCCGACTTGTAATAAATAGCTTAAAATGTCGGTAGATTGCGATATATTAATTATTAAACAAGAACACTTTTAACCTCACCAAATACTATATATATATATACCAAAATAATATGTAATGTTTGTAGTTTACGCAAGTAGTACACATTTAAGTAGAACACTTTTAACGATTTAAAACGCGATATGTATTGGTTAAATTTAACCAACGATTGTCGGGCAGTATTTAATATAGTTCGTAAATAAGTTTGACTAATACAATTCGAGTTTTAAACCGTTAAAAGTGTTTTATTTGAATCAGTCTATATTAGTTATATAAATATAATGCACTTGTATACTACTCACGTAAATTATAAACATTACATATTAATTATTTGACCATAGATATAATTTACTATTCTTAATAAACATTATTATCTTGTCAAATAAAATATGCATTTTAACCGAATATTAACATTCTACTTTTAGATGTCTTATGCGTTATAAACACATTGTTTTATACTATAAGCGGTGTCAATTTGAACTGTCAGAAGTAATTTCAAGACGTGTTATAAATTGGGCAGCGCATTTCTGGAACGCAGTCTGGACCGAGATAATTTGTGTCTGATTACGTGTTTTTTCTTTAACAACAGGTGGTGTTGTATATGTTTATTATGGACATAAAATCTCTTAGTATATTACCTTTCATTATTATTGAGACGTAAGTAGATATATAACGATTAAAGATGCGGTGAAGAGGTATATACAACTTAATACTTTGTTAGGTATTCGGAGGTCCAAAGTCTAAGCAGTCTTTCCGTGGCTGTAAAGCCTTAGCGGATTTAATTTTTTTTTAATCAAATATTGAATAAGATATGGGCGGTCCTCGTTAGAATCACATAGTTGATCCTCTGTGTCTTACAAAATTACAAAAACACTTGAATTTTTTACATAATTATATGTAGGTACTTACATTTCGTTAAAAAAGCGTTTGTAAGTAATATAGTCTTAATTAAAATCTCCTTGTTATGACACGGTATCCCATTTAGTTAGACCAGCAGCCCGAAACGCTGTGTTTGTCGATTCAAGTCCCGCCCTTATATATATTTTTTTAAATCTTAATCTAGAATTTTAATTTATAATAAAAAAATCTAGAATTTTATTTTATACAACGGTACATAGGTTTTTAGCAGTCCTGCATACCATGTATAAAATTTTACTTATTGTTATAAGAATTTGTACAGTTTTATAACATTGATTTCTTTGTTACTAAACAGTTTTGTGATTTCATCTTCTTCTTCTGTTAGTTTATTTGATGGCTTCACCATTAGATTAATATTTATAACAGTATTACGATTCACATTGATAATGTCTGCCATTGATTTCCCATTCACTTTACGATTTTTTAACAGATGTTATAAAAATCTTTTGATACGTCACACATAGATTCGTTACGCCTGTCACATCACGCACCCCAGCACTTCGGAGTATTATCATAATAATGACGGGGGAGCAAAATATGAGTGGTTTTTAAAATGGCCACGCTTGAAATAGTGCAGATTTTTCATTGAGTGTTGTAACTATAGATTATTATCTCTGACAAGTACTATATCTTGCTAATACATAAAATCCTATTGATTTGGATTCAATTTTGGTTAATATAAATAGACACAAATAATTACCTTATATAAATATTGGTCAATATATCTATATTGTCGGGTATTTTCATCCACAGCGTTCCGTGCTATTTATTGCTTTAACCAATTTAGTTATAGAGTCATAATCGATTTTTAATTTATATAGTCCCGTCATGTGTAAATAACATGTGAAAAATATTAATGTTTTTAACCAGTGTAATTATCCAACTAATTTTTTCTTCATATTTCGAACCTTAGACCTTTTGCTTAATGCGACAGTCGAACGTCGATTATTTATAAAAATGTCCTTTAATTACAAAAAAAAAAACACAATGTAGTCCACGTATTTTCCTGTCCACAGCACAGATAATGTATTTTAAATGACAGCGGTATAGAAAAAAGAAATTATCTATGGATCTCTAATTTGACATTAAGTTCTTTTCTGATAGACCTCATTAACGCCTGTAATTTTATGTATCAACTTGACTAGTTCCCGGCTCGCTTCGCCATAAATTATGTTTATGATAACATTATCGTAATAGGGAATTTAAATTATGCACGAAATTAGTGTTTAATTTAATACTAAACTTTACTTTCAAAACTAAGTTTTTTTTTAATTTTGTAAATTTGACGGGCTCGTCGTAGCAATGTATGGCTAATATATCAACGGGTCGCGGGTTTGATTCCCAGCGAATCCAACATGTTTCAGTTAATTGTAATTTTTCTGAAACATGTTGAACTTCGTCTGGAAATCTGGATATTAAATGAGTGGTAAGTAGTAATATAGAAATTCCGTCCGGGTCACGAACCACCGTACACAGATGTAAAAGCCGTGAAGTTGAGTCGTGTTTGGTTTCAGTCTGTGATTTTCCGAATATCCAAAACCAATATAGGTTGACAGAATCCGTATATTTCAATACTCATACCACCTATTTAATATGCTGATTTCCAGAACTCCAACATGTTATAGAAAAATTATAAATTGATTAGTAAAATGTTGGACTCGAACCCGCTACCCGTTGATTACTAGCCATACGTTGCTACCATTACACCAAACCCGTCTATAGCACGGAACCCCTCGTACGCAAGTTATATCACGCTTGGGGCGTTTTTTTTATTTTTCCGTTTTTGCAAAAGCACTGTTTTAAAATATCCTTTAGCACTTACAGTGACTAAATGTGGAGGGTTAGCCTACGTTTAACCAAATAGTTGTAAACCGCGGCAATGTTGGGTTAATTGCCGTGATATTTGCGGCAAGAGGGTAAGATTGTACTATTATGTACATTTGGTTTCATTTGCTTGTGTTTACCGTAGATTTAATCTTGGATTGCATTGGATTTTACTCGAACCCGGGACCAACGTCAGGGTAAATACTTCCTGTAGTTTACGCACATTGAAATAAAACGCTTACGGTTTAAAACGCGATATATATTAGATAAACTTCTTAGGATATTATTATGTTAACTACGGCTTGACGTTTCGGATGCTTTGTAGCAGATGGTGTCTCCCTGTGAACAAGCGCGTAATATATATCCTGTTTTAAACCGTTAAAGTCGCTTTAACGTCAAACAAACAACGGCTTGAGGTTGTTTTCGTTTTCGACATATTTTTTGTCGATATTTATACCTTGATAAAAATGGAAAAAGCTTTCGTGGATTTTTTAATTGCTTCCAAAAATTAGCGTTTCTAACCAAACAAACAGCCCATTATAAATATTGTTATTACAGATTATATTATAATTACTTACACTTTTTGACAAATGTCAAAGAATTAAATTTAAAATCCCTCCTACCCGTAATAAGATTTTTTTAAAAGTATTCTGTCAAACGATCGTTCGATATTTGAAAGCTAGTCTAATAGCTGAAACGTGCCTTTTCCTTAATGCCGATTACTGAATATAGAATCTTATGGCGGCTTCAGACAGATTGCGTTTTAAAAGCGTCACTTAAGCGTTTATTGAACTTTTACTTAAAGAGGCAGTAACTATTGAATTGGTATAAATAAACTTGCATATAAAAGAAATTAAGTTAGCTTTTGTTACTTTTTCGGTTCTAAAAAACAATTGGTAAAAATGTGTTTTTTTCTTACACGAAGGCTTTATAAGGCGTTTAGAATTCGATATATATTAGTTCATCTTATTTGGAAATTATTATAACTACGGTCTGAATTTTCGGATGCTTTGCAGCAGCCATAGTTACGGGGAGTCCCTCCCCTTAGGTAAAATAATTTTCAAATTAGATTAACTAATATATATCGCGTTTTAAACCGTTGAAGTGTTTTATTTAAATGTGCACTACTCGCATAAACTACAGACAGCACATAATGTAAAACTTTTAACGTGTATGTTAATTTAGTAATACGGCCCTTTAATTATAATTCTTTGTCGTTGTCAAGACGGAGTTTATAGGGTTTGCCTCTCTCAAATTATGCAAAATTAATTACACGTCCCTCATAAGACAATGGCAAGGAGTGACACGGTTCAGACTTGATAACGTCATGAATGCGAAACGTCGTCGTTGTGAAAGTTACCTAATTTCACAAATCCTCGCCTGCGCGTTTAGCGCCATCTGTCATCGAGTGTGACAGTTGACAGTGCACAGACTAAAAATAACACCTTCAAAGAACTTTGAAATTATTTATTTTTATTTTAAGTTTAGCTGGCCGAATGATAAAAGGGCTACAGTTTTTAAGCGTAAAACAAATATGGTTGAAATAAACATTTTTTTTTAACTGTATAAGTACGTTGTGTCTATAACGTGAGCGGTTCTGAAGATCTTATATAAAAAAACAAATTATTGTAAACCATACCCCCATTATTATAAAAAATATCTTGTTTTAGTATTGAATTCAAATAATTTTCTTTTTTGTACAACAACAAACACAAAGTTGAAAATAATACTTTCATTCGAATATTTTATTGTCACATGGTAAACACGAGAAATATTGATGTTTACGTTCATTTATTTTAAAACTAAATGGTTCAAATAACTAACCCTTACTACACCGACACAGAGCCTATAATCTGCTTGACTAGCGATGCTAGAGGTACACTAACTAAATGGTATGGAGTCGAAATTCTTAAAAATATATTTTCATGTCATACTTATATTAAGATTAATTTAATTCAATAATTAATACTATTTAATTTAAA